TTTCCATAGAGTACCATGTGTAATGAGCATTAAAAGTCCTTACAACTCTCTGATCTAAAGGCTGAATAAGACATTGTGTTTGGGGGCAAGTAGACCACTTTGACACCTTCAAGCATTGAAATCATTGGGTTCTGGATGGCCAGGGGCATTGTCCAATATCAAAAGAATTTTAAAAGGCAGTTCCTTACTGGCAAGGTACTTCCTGAATTCAGGGACGAAGCATCAATAAAACCAGTCCAGAAAAACAGTTCTCATTGTTCAGGCTTTCTTGTAGTGCAATCAAAGGACTGGCAGCTGGTATCTATATTTTCCCTTCAAGGCTTGGGGGTTAGCAGCTTTATAGACAAGGGCAGTCTGGAACATAAACCCAACTGCATTTGCACAAAACAGTAACCTATCCCTTCTTGTCTTAAATCCTGGTGCTCATTTTTCTTCCTTACTAATAAATGTCCTTTGTGGCATTTTTTCTTTCTCCTCAATGATATTGGTATTCTTTCTCCTCAATGATTTTCTTAATGGCGTCTGGGAACTTGTTTGCTGCCTCTTGGTTGGGAGGAGCTGCTTCTCCTGTTATCTTGGCATTTTTAAAGCCAAACTTCTTTCTAAAAATTATCAAACTATCCCTGGTGGTGCAGTGGTTGAGAGTCCGCCTGCCGATGCAGGGGACACGGGTTCGTGCCCCGGCCCAGGAAGATCCCACATGCCGCGGAGCGGCTGGGCCCGTGAGCCCCGCGTACCGCAAAAAAACAAACAAACAAACAAAAACATAGCAACATAAAAAGTTACCTTTCTAAGGAAAGGAAAAAACTCACCCACAATCCTATTACCTCAACACAATAATTTTTCTTTGTATTTATTCTCTTCTGGTTTTATTCCAGAGGAATTTACATTTTATTTTATGGAGGTATAACCATTTATATTTTTATTTTTTCAGTTGATATTACACTGGATACTTCAGCAAGTTTAATTATCATTTTTGATAGCATCACATATATTCAGAGATATATAAGCTATTTTCTCATGTCTCGCTCCCATCTGCCCATTCTATTTTCTATTGGTGGACTTAGAAGGCTCAAGATTTTCAGATTCAAACCAGCTAGGAAAAAATAGCAAAATGTAAAACTTCGGTGAAGTAATATAGCCTCTTACTTTACCAAAGCTTTAAAACTGAACTTACACAATTTGAAATTAAGTGTTTAAATATAAATACAAGTTTCATCTGAATAAGATGTTTTTTTCCATCTAATATTTATAATGTAAAATGCTATTAGAAGTTAAAAGTTTTGATTTATAGTCTATGAATCCACCATACTCTGCAGGTAATCTGAAAAAGAGCAGTACATTTAAAATGTTTGATTCAGATAGCCCTATATTCATAAAACTACCTGCTACCTTTATTACCTCAACTAATATACTGCATTAAGCAGTAATTTTGGAAAAAGAAAGTTCAACTCTGAATTAATCAAGTAGTATAATAGTTGAAATTTGCATTTTTATCAGCACGTACAAAATATCACAAATTATTTTAAAACAGCTTTTCTCCCAATTTTTCTAATATAAGTATGTCATTTCTTAAAGCATACTATTTTCTTTCTAGGAGTGTTATAGTTGTATTATGCAAGTTCAGTACGTGGCCTACAGGAGGAAATAAAGAGGGAGAAAAATAATTTAAGGTCCATCTGGCTTCTAATGTGATAACCAGTTTAAAAGACTTTAGCTCACTGATATTTATAAAGACTCTATGCTTTACTTCCTGTTCTCCCCCCATCCCACCCCGGCCAAACTCTGTCAAGTGGGTCACTTCCAGGATAGAGGTATTTGCTTCCTTCCTTATTACTCAACCAATTCAGCCAGAGGCATAACCATTTATAGATGCAGGAGAGACCTCTCCGTTCTGCAAATTATAACTCAATTCCAGCTATCATATGCATAATTCCTTTTTTGGTTGCTGGACATTTGGGATATACATTATTGTTAGAACGCAACATGCTGTCATGTATTTAAACATACTGCCTGTTTTAAACCAAAACAACACACTTAAAGCCCATCCATCACCAACTAGTAACAACCGCTTTGATGCTTTTTTCAACATAACTGCTTATTCTTGGCATGCTATAATTTGTAGTAAATGTGCTGCTGAAGTAAACATTTGATTGTTTATTCATGTGACTATAGTTACCATCTTCACTAGGTTTTAACACACCAAATAGCTGTTACTGAGCCTTGTGAAATGGATTAGTGTTAAATACTTTAAATATAGAAATAATTAATTTGAGAAATGTTAAAGATACAACCTATCAATTTACTATTCAATGAATAACTAGCTGATATGGAGAACTCTAGGAGCCATTTAAAAATACTTATGATTAATGTTGGAGAGCAAATAAGTTTATGCTGTATTATAGCTCAAAATGATCATTCACGTATTAGTCCAGAAAAATTTGGTTAAGAGAAGATAATGAGAGATAGTACAATTCTTGACAATTAGATTGTAGACCTTGGCAAAGTAACTTCTCGTTTGGGCTTCCTCACTTGTAAAATGAAGGGATTAGGCTTTATTATGTCTAAAGTTTTTAAGATTTAAGAGTTTATCTGACTTCCCATAATAGCTGTTCTTGAAGTTAAGTTTTTGCCATATAGCATGTCTGCTTGCACCAAGAACATCCTATTTACATGACAATTAATCTGTTTATAATTAAAAATTCATTTTCATTTATTAAGCTTTCTTAAAGTGAGCAAAACCCATATATTTATAGAAATCACCAAGAAAAAAACTACTGTGGAATATATTCTTAGCTGGAATATAGAACTGGTGATTTTTATTAAGTTAGAAGTCTGGGGAAAGTGTGAAGACGATAAATCAATTTATTTAAGTTCTTATTCTGCTCATTGTAAGATATTGTAGGAGTTATGTACACTGCTGACCCTTATCCCAGGATTAACATTGCTATTCAAATTGCACAATGATGGTATGCACAAAAGCCACATATTGAAATATATTATTGGGGCTACTCTACTCAAGGAAGGTTAAAAACTGATATGAGTCATTACATATGAATGGGGCTGAGATTTTCACATTACATTAAAAATGTAAGGGATTAATCAGTTCCATCTTTTCATTTCTAGTAGGAAGTTGTGGTCCAAAGAAGTGACTTGTCAAGGTCACAGATCTAACTACTGTCAGTTGAGAAGAGTGCCCAGATCTGATTGCCAATTCTACATCATACTGTCCTCCTAGATGCCAGAGCAGGCAATCCTTTGATTAGGTATAACTCCAAATGGAATATAAAATCTTAAAGGCACTTTAAAGGCAGTCCATGTAGCTCAACTTCTCATTTAAATCTGAAATTTCTTCTGTAACACCATGTCAGATGTCATTCAGCTTCTACTCCAGTGGTTAACATACTCATTTATCCTTCAGACGTGATCCCTTTCCTTGATGGACAAAGAGCCATAAACTCTCTTACCCTGAGTTCTAATCTGCCATTTTGCAACTTTCACCTAGTTCCACCAAGCCAAAAAGGGTAAATTGTACATACCTGTCAAATATGTGAAGACAAAAAGGGTAAATTGTACATACCTGTCAAATATGTGAAAACAGCTATCATTCCTTAGTGATAATAATCCTTCAGTTATTCTTTGGGTTTCAGTTTATGGGATTCTTCCCAACTTGGTAAAACACCCCAGGATTTGCTCTAATTTGTGAATATCCTGTCACTGTATCCTGAAATTATTGCAGATGTGGTTTTTGACCAGCACTTTGTATATAAGATTTATTTCCCCATGATCAATTTTTCATCACCATCATCTTACTTCAGGTTGTAAACAATTGGCTCAAATATTATTTCCAGGAAGTTAAAATCTCTAGATATTTTTCTTTTTTTATGTTTTTGCTCCATAGTTTTTTTTAAAAAAATTGATTAATTTATTTTTGGCTGTGTTGGGTCTTCATTGCTGCGTGCAGGTTTTCTCTAGTTGTAGCAAGCGGGGTCTACTCTTCCTTGTGCTGGGCGGGCTTCTCATTGCAGTGGCTTCTCTTGTTGCAGAGAACAGGCTCTAGGCGCACAGGCTTCAGTAGTTGTGGCTCATGGGCTTAGCTGCTCCACGGCATGTGGGACCTTCCCGGACCAGGTATCGAACCTGTGTCCCCTGCATTGCAGGCGGATTCTTAACCCCTGTACCACCAGGGAAGTCCCCAGATATTTTTCATCTATAAGCTCTTGACAAGTGTAGTTTCATATTTTTTTCAACGGTTTTCTACTATTTCTAGAATGATGATACCATATGTGATTGTGCTGCTAACTAGCTTGTCAGCCGCCACCCTCATCCCTCTGCCATCATTTCCCCTTGACCTCTGACCAGTGTTCTTAATTTCAAACCCACCATCCTTCCTCTAGGCTTCCACATATTGTTCCCCTCGGACCACCCAGGCCCAGTGTTTTCCTAGTCATCCTTCAAAGCTCAGTTCAAATACCACTTCTTTGTGGGACCCCTCCTTGCTCTTCTTCCCATGTTCCCTCAAGAGCACCTTTTACCTATTATAATACCCTACAAAGCTCCTTCAGCCTTATACAAACAGTAATAATACTTGTGCAATAAGGTGTCTGTCTCAGTTATACTGTGAAGGCTGCGAGGACAAGGTTGATGTCTTTTTTTTTTTTGATGTCTATCTTTATCTGGCATAGGGTTTTGAATGATTTAAACATTCAATAAGTATCTGTTGGATGAATGAATGAATACTGAATTAGTGTGATCAATATTTTGATTTTCCCAGGTGATCAAAGAAAACAGTTAAACTCTAGGGTGTATGTTGTACAAAGAAGGAAACGTATAGGCTTTAAGACAATCTTGAGAAGGAAAAACCTCTCTAAAAGAAAGAAGGAATAATAAAATTTAGGAAACTATAGATCTATGTACTATAAAGATGAATGGTATTTTTTTTTTTAGTCCCTGTACTAAGTAAGGAGTGAGGAGCATGGAAGAAGGAAAACGAGCACAGCTGAGTGGCATATTTTTGTTTTACTGTTAATTTGACACATCTGAACCAAAGCATTCACAATACTTGATATACTTTGAAGAGAGTCATACACTATAGTCTTAGACATAACCACAGAACAAGCAGAACAATTAAAACTACATAAGGCCTTAAAATATATCCACAGTGTGTATTATTTCAATATTCATTCATTTACAAATTAGAGTACATACCATTAATTTTATTTTTATTTTTCTTTCATTGTTTTATTCAAGCAGGATTCATTCAAGGAAAGGCAACTTAGTTTTTGTGTGAGCTTTATTTTTTTCACTACATTCGTTAATATAAAAGTTATGACGTTTTCTTATCTCCTGCATCCAGGAGTAAATCCATGAAATTCTCGGATAGTAATCCAAAACAACAGGTCCTATTCTTAAAAATAGTCAAAGTGAAAAGGGATCAAATAGCCAGTCTGTTTGTGGTCTTAAAGAACATCTAATGGACTTTCAGGTTTTCTAACAGTGACAGTATTGCATTTCTAAGAGATTAGTCAAAATTTAAAACAACATTGCGTACAAAATTATTCTTGAAGCTCTAAATGCCTTTTAAATTACTAAAATGAAAATTTTAAGTAGTTGCCTCACAGTACCAAACTTATAAATCAAAACTAGTTAAAATTCAGTGCTATTGTGACTTTATCATTTACAAGGTAACTAGTGGGTAAATTAACAAATGGCATAAAAATTAAGACTTACATCATTTTTTTAAAAGGAGAAAATGTATGATAACCAGGGAATACAGAAAATTCAATGTATTTTACAATAAAATAACCTTTAAATCTCTATCCCTGTACAACAGGGTTTAGGTCATCTTTAGTGAACTTGCATGTTTTCATACGGTTTATTCTGAGTACTTTAATTGTTTAAGATATACAGCTTTTTATTGAAAGAATATTACATTTGTATACCAGGATAAGATTTAGTACATTGAGATGTTTTAAAAATATTTATAAATTTGTTTCTGATATGCAAAAGCATTTGGCAATACTTTCATAGCGTTTGATCTTATAGAATTAAAATTTCATACAGTACTCATCTTGATGTTTAAAAAAAAATATTCACAGAAAAAATATAAATTACATAGCCTGACTGCATGATACTGTTATTTCCAGTTTCTAGTTTGGTAATTAAAACCTTCATTAAGTCTGTTAACAAATCATTACCTGTACATTTATGAAGGCAACTGACATGATTTGCAAACAAAACCTTCAGGTTTTATGTTATTTACCAAAGAGTGCAGTTCAGCAAGAAAGAAAACCCAGTATGCAAATTTTCAGAATATTTTACAAATTTACCAGTTCCTGTGACACAAACTGTTTCAATCTTTCAAGATACTGTCCATAAAGTTCCACATCATTGTGACCTGCCCCTTCAACCCACAGGGGCTCCACAGGTCTTTGGCAACGCTCAAACAATGCGAGGCCATGTGAGAAGTCAATGACTTCATCTTCAGTCCCATGAATTATTAATACTGGAGAGGTAATCTTAGAGATTTTGTCAATGCTGTAGGGAAAGAGGAGGAAAGAAGTCAACAAATTAAGTATGAAAAGGAAACAAAAAAAATTTTCTTGTGCTATATTAGATAATTTAAATATCAGAACCATCTTTGAATCAATTCAGAAGGGATAGATACCTCTTGGATTTCAAATATGATTCAAAAGTCATCTTTACATTACTCCCTACCTTAAGATTATCTGAGGACGTTAACTTCATGCACTTCTGTTTTGAGGGAATCACTCAATCATTATAGTCATCCTACTTCGCCTTTCTACAATGTTGATATTTTAGCACAGAAACTTAGGTTGCAAGGAGAGGAAGAAACCAAGGACCATTTCAGCTATGTGCTAACTTCATACCTCTCTGCATTCACATTTTTTTCTCCCTCCCAATATCCTACTAAAATGATAAGCAAAATATTTTTTTTGTTTTGGGTATTTACTACAAAAATAGGAAGAATATAATAAAACATAACATTTTGGAGCTGGAAAGCAGATGAATATGTGAGATAACAGATTAAAAGTATAGGAGAAAACATAATTTTTAAGAGGACAGAAGGGTAAAGTGAAGAACCAATCCAATTTATATCATGGAATACCCCCAGAAGGCTAGTAACTGACATGCAGATAAAGGCGGGTGATTCAAATCTACAGAATTTGTTCAAAGTCTGTTTAAGAAATAGTGTCCTGAACCCCCGCCCCCGCCACCCCAGTTCTTTTCTTTCCTCCTCCTTTTGCAGCTGGGTAAATGCCCTCTATCTAAAACTGGAAGGTTTGTGGACTAGGGGATTGCCGGACACAGTTTAAGGCAGAGGTACCAAATAGCAGGTAAACATATACATGTTGTCTGCTATGAACCCATTTTCCCTACTGGGCTCCCAGAATGCTGGCAGCCAAGCCTCCACCTTTTAAGAGATAGTTGTAGGAAGAGTCTTCTTTGGAGACTATATATCTGCCTTAAGAGGAAAAATAAATACTGACATCGGGGTGGGATCCCCAACTAATTGGCTTGGCCAGATCACTGGATAGTGAAACTCACAGTCAACAAGTCTTAATTCCCCACACTTCAGCTCAGCTCTTTAGTTCCTTACTCTTCCATATGAGCACACAAATAAGAATTATCAGACATCAGAGGAGATGTCACTTTACATATAAGACAAGGATCAAAATAAACAGTAAAAAAGGGCAACTTGGAAGAGACAAACAATACAAAGAAAAAACCTTACAAAGAACAATCTTTAAAAATTTTCTGAGAAAGAGGCGCAAGGCATAACTATAAAATGAGGACAGAATCTTGAAAAAGAAGAAAATCATCAATGAAATAATTCAAGGCAGCATTTGGTAAGGAAAAAATGCTTGGGTATATTATTTGCTGTCAACTCTTCAATAGTAGAGGAATTAAATAAAGAAGGAAACGTATGATCTTTTTCAAACAGTTTACTGTTAGTGCTGCATACTCTGTTGGTGCAGCTGAAATGAAAGAGGGAGCTAAACAGAGATGTAACTTGGCAATAGTTTACCCCAATTGTCTCCCTATCATTCCTACCATTCAGCGACAAAGTATAATGCACATACCTTCCAATCTACCATTTTGTAAAACAAAAACAAACCCCCAATAAATGTAAAAACCAAAAACCTCCCACAGCCTGCTCTGGTGATAATATCATATGCTCCCATATGCTTCCCTACCAAAGTAACCCCTTACTGGCTAATGAAGAAAAAATTTGTTTTTGAAATGACCCTTGCTGTTCTTATAAAGAATCAAGTGGTGACTTGGCCTTTGGCCTATCTATCATTCACAAAGAATCTTTGTATTGCTGCCAATTTGGGAAAGGAAATAAGACTGAAATTTGCTAGCCTGTCACTTCTTCCCTTCCTTTCTTTGAGAAAAATAGGCCGTCAATTTTTTTGTAACAATGAAGAAGAGCTAGTGGGAACTACCATCCTGTGTTGAGAAGCATGAGGATAAGTAGCCCTTCTTTTAAATTTGTCTAACACGTTTGCAGACTTTGTGGGGGCAGTAATTATTCTGGCTCATTTAAGACTCAATATTTTCACAATTCACTTCCTTTGTAAATCAGATATCACTAATTAGACATCATTCATTCATTTTTTACAGAAGATTTAAAAAAAAATTTTATTTATTTTATTTTTGGCTGTGTTGGGTCTTCGTTGTTGAGCGCGGGCTTTTCTCTGGTTGCCGCGAGTGGGGACTACCCTTTGTTGCTGTGTGCAGGCTTCTCACTGCGGTGGCTTTTCTTGTTGTGGAGCACAGGCTCTAGGCACACGGGCTTCAGTAGCTGTGGCACGTGGGCTCAGCACTTGTGGCTTGCAGGCTCTAGAGCACAGGGTCAGTAGTTGTGGCACACGGGCTTAGTTGCTGCACGGCATGTGGGATCTTCCCAGACTAGGGCTCGAACCCGTGTCCCCTGCATTGGCAGGCGGATTCTTAACCACTGCGCCACCAGGGAAGCCCCGTTCATTCATATTTTATGCACATGTGTCTCATTTTCCCTCTACTTGTTCCTCTCCTCCAGTATTATGCACCTCACTGGATGGTACTATCGTCCATTAGCAGCTCAAGTCAGAAACCTGGGAATTATATTCAAATTCTTTTGTTTAGCATCCTATATACAGTCTGACATTCAGTTCTATCAATTTTTTCTCAAATTCACTCTCTTATCTCCAATACTAGTGCCACCATCTGGGGTATAAGGCTCTCAGCACTTTTCACTTGGGTTACTATTGCTCAAACACTTCAGCCTTCTGACAGATGTCCTGCCACCACCTTCCTCACAAAGTAATTTTTCCACAATTGCTAAAATATATGTAAAATAGGAGCTCATGGCTGAGTGAACTGTATCATGAATACCTTAAGTGATGGAAAAAAATTCCCTCAAAAGTTTCTTCGAATTAAACTATTTGAATATTAATACTTACTTTGGGAATGCATCAAAACAGTAGGTCTTCTTGGTATCAGGAAAAGCGACTCGCATTCCTGAGGTCAACGGAGAATGAAGAATAACAGCAGCACTCTCATACCGAGCAGCAAGATCCACAGATGGTACTGTCCCTATACTTTGGCCATATATAATCACATTTTCAGGGCGAATGCCATATCTACAGAGTCCAGAAGTTTAAAAAAAAAAAAAAAAAGAGTTGGAGAGTCAGACTGGTATGAAGTGTTCAATCACTACTAAGGACTTACTCTTAAAAAAGAATGACAGAATGAGACAATGTCAATAAATTTATATTTAAAACTTAAGTTTCTTAGTCATCACTAACATATTTAATGCCACAATAAAATCTATATTATTTCATCTGTTTCAAGTCTATCTTTTGGAAAAATAATGGCTGAGGTCTCTTAAAATTTTAATCTTAAGGAATGAATTTATTAAATCATTTAGGCAGTTCAATGTAGCATATTATTGACTATATTTGGAACATATTATGTCACTAATATTTTAATGGACTGATGTTTAATGGAGATTTAGTGTTTATTTTCCATTCAATGTAAAAAAGGTTCTTTATTTCTCTAGGCATTAAAAGTGGTTCATTTTATTTTCTGAAGTTGGTCATAGTGATGAAAATGCAACATATAGTTACAGTATGGAACGATGAATAAAATATATGTATTGTTTTAGCCAAGAGCAAATTACTTATTTTTCTTGAGATTTGCACTTATTTACCCATAGAAATGGACTAATGATTGGAAAGATCAATAGATGAATGAGAATTCCAAAAGTCACATGGGTCAGTGATTTATGAATACTTCCTTTAAAAATGATTCAGATTTAAATATATGAACTCAGTACCTCAATTATATTGGGTATATACTATGTTCCAGGCATTGTTACTTGTGTACAGTATAACTGTCCTAACTATAAACTACTGCAAGTGTAAGTGAGGTACTATAGGAGCTAATTACCTCTCCATAGTTTCTTCAAATCAGTCCTACAGAAGAATTTGGACCATGTCCCAAAGATTGGGTTCCATCTACTATAGACTGACTCTAAATGTAACTAAACTCAGAAAAACTTTTTTTGCACTTCCCTGGTGATGCACTGTTTTAAGAATACGCCTGCCAACACAGGGGACATAGGTTTGATCCCTGGTCTGGGAAGATCCCACATGCCGCAGAGCAACTAAGCCCATGTGCCACAACTACTGAGGCTGCACTCTAGAGCCTGTGAGCCACAACTATTGAAGCCCGTGCGCCTAGAACCCATGCTCCGCAATGAGAAGCCACCACAATGAGAAGCCCACGCACCACAATATAAGAGTAGACCCTGCTCGCCGCAACTAGAGAAGGCCCGCGCGCAGCAATGAAGACCCAACGCAGCCAAAAAATATAAATAAATAAATTCTCTACACAGAATCTTAAAAAAAAAATAAAAAAAAGAAAACGTTTTTTCTTTGCAACAGACCTAGCTTCATAGGAATGAAGAAATTAGGAAAATGAACATTTGCAGCATCGCATCAGCATAACGCTTGGGGCTGCATGGATGCTGTTTAGCTGAACAGCAGAACTGTGGGTGGCAACAATGGGTTTTAGGCTAAAGCTAGCAATGGCAAGGCTCCAGAGTAGCTGAAGCAGCTGCCAATTTACTATCAGAGGACTCAAAGCAGTAACAGAATTTTAGAATAGTACACGTTAGAAAGGACTTCAGAGACCATCTAATCTAGGTTGGCTGCTTACTGAGCAGATGTTCAAAGTCAGAGTAAGTTAATGACAGACCGGTAATTAGAACCCAGGTATCCTGACTCCAGGTCCAGTGCCTTTTCTATTATAGCACACAGATAATGAGCTCAAATACTGTGGGGGAAAGGCTGCATAGTGAATATTCATACTTTATTTTCTGTTGATCCATCAGAAGTTCAGAAACATGGTTACTATAGATATTCAATTATCCTTAAAGGGAGGTTATTCAAATAATAATTATTTAAGTTCATTATTTTTTCCCTTCCTGGTTACTTAAGCTCTTTTTTACTTTAATCAAGTAAATGAAATGAAAGGCATGAATTCTAATTACACACATTTTATTAGATGACAGAATTCAAGAACTGGAAAGAATCTTGGAGATCATTTAACTTAAGCTCTTCATTAAATAGACTAAGAAACAGAGGCTCAGAAAAATTAAATAAAATTTCCCCTTACTAACTCTTCCAACCATATTTAGAGTTCAACATAAGAGAAATTTTAAGTCTGAAATTCTATGCTAAACTAGTATGTGGGACTAGGTAGCAATCTATCTGTTCTACTCCTAGTCTTCATTCATACTGGTCGAGTGTATAAAAAGATTAATTAACCCAGACTAGAAATCACTTAAGAAAGTTTCCTGTAAATTGATATCTGATAAGATTTAAAAAAAATAATAAAGCTGACCACTTACAAGAGGGGATTCTTTTACATAAACATAGAAAGAACACTTAACTGGATACTAACATGTTTTGCTTGAATAATTTATACTTTTGTGCTACTTGGAAGCACTAATAATGAAGGCTATCTGCTTTTAGCACCTTTAAAAGCTATACTAATTCACTGAAGTTGAATTATAGTATGTGAAGTATATTGCAATAAATCTGTTATTAAAAAATTATCATATTTTCCTGACAGGTATTATATATACTATATTCAACTGGTTGAATCTGAAAGGGAGAGCTCAGTTTTGTTTGCGGGCCTGAGGGGACTGACATGAGTATAACCGAAGCATTTTTTTTTTCTTTTTTTTTCGAAGCATATTTTGACTGTGGTCATTTAAGGTAGCTTTTAAGTTTATAAATTTTTACCGCTCTGTGCCTGCCTCCCTCCCACTCCTAAACTCCATAATTACTACTTACCATCTATTTTTTTTCTTACTTGTCAGAAATATGTTTTCATATCATTTCAATTGACTTAAGAATCCCTTTTATACAGAACTCTGCTATGAGACTATAGTTTTACTACACATCTTGGAGGGGTAAATGTTTCTAAAGATTTTTCTAAAAAAGGTTATATCTACTAATGAAATTGAGAAAGTTCTTCCCAACTAACTGAAACCATTAATATTTAAACATTAAATTAGGAATGGTAGATTTTCTTTATGTACTCTAGCTTCAGTCTAAAATACTCTGGAGGGATTTCCCTGGTGGTGCAGTGGTTAAGAATCCGCCTGCCAATGCAGGGGACACGGGTTTGAGCCTTGGTCCGGGAAGATCCCACATGCTGCGGAGCAACTAAGCCCGTGCGCCACAACTACCGAGCCTGCTCTCTAGAGCTGGAGAGGCACAACTACTGAGCCCGTGTGCCACAACTACTGAAGCTTGCGTGCCTAGAGCCCATGCTCCGCAACAAGAGAAGCCACCGCAGTGAGAAGCCCGCGCACTGCAACGAAGAGTAGCCCCTGCTCACCGCAACTAGAGAAAGCCTGCGCACAGCAACGAAGACCCAACGCAGGCAAAAAACAAACAAACAAACAAAAAACACCTCTGGAAGTCAGGCAGCTTATTAATGTACAATGAAGAATAATTTGTACTAAGGTATCTTTCTGTTTAGTGTACATTAACTGATGAGAAAATACACCGAAGTATACAAAATTGCAATCTTTTTCAAGAAAAATTTATAAGTATTTTTGTGACTAGCAAAGATTAATGTTATTTCTATTTATTAATTTTTAATTATTAATTATATAAAATGATGCAAACCCTGCCTTAGGATTTTAACAATCTAGCCTCTTACTCTGTTAATGACAGACCAAGAGAATGATTAGCTAAATCACTGTTTTCTCTCATTCCCTTGAAATGTTGCAACTTTGAATAAACATTTTTATACCACAATCCAATAAGTTTCTAAAACCAAACATTTTTCACTGGCTTACATTTTTAGGAAAATCACACACACACACACAAGCTGTCAAACTCTTTTATGCTATTATACAAAATTTAAAATTACAATCTAAAAGTGTAACTCTTCATAGGTTTATACTGGTAAATATAATCTTTATTTAGTACTTCAAGATGTGTTACAAAAACAGATTTTATTCTATTCTTATACAAGACAATTTTATCAGCCATCACAAATGTGGAAAACAATTCCCAATCACCATTTACCTTGTCCTAAGAGCAAGCCAAGCAGCTTCTATGTCTGCATAGAGGTTCTTCTCTGTCGGTTTCCCAGAACTTGCACCATATCCAGAATAATCATATGAAAATATATTACAATTAATCCGTGATCCCAGTCCTATGTAAAAACTGCTCATCTGACCAAGATCAACAGCATTTCCGTGTGAAAAGAGTAAAGTGTATTTGGCATTGGGTGAGCAACGCACAAACATGCAGGCAATTCTGTTGCCTTTACTGGTTCTAGTCATGAAACACTCAATAGCATCTTTTTCTCTAGAAGAATATTGCCAGTCTGCTCGCTCTGATAGGTGTAACGTCCAGCGGCTTCCACTTTCATCACACATCAGCGTGTAAGTTGGATCAGGTGGCAAAAATGCTAATTTTGAAGCAATTTTCCCTGGACAAGGTGGACAGCAGAAGAGGCAACATAGCTCACTAAATGAAAGATTATTCATCTTCTGAAAAAGAAAAGAATAGTCATGTTTTAATCACTGTATGTCCATTCTGCATTTGCATACAATAAAAGTTAAAACAAAGACACCAGTAAATTCTACTACTGGACAGTGTCTACTACTATTATATGAAGTATGCTTTCCCAAATAGATTTTTGGCATCTTTCTAGAAACACTTGAAATCATGAGGTGAGACAAATATTCCTGACCAGGAAACGGACTCAAATACTATGTGACATGTTGCAAATAGTAGTTGAATTTTTTTTTTTTTTTTTTTGCGGTACGCGGGCCTCTCACTGTTGTGGCCTCTCCCATTGCGGAGCACAGGCTCCGGACGCGCAGGCTCAGCGGCCATGGCTCACGAGCCCAGCCGCTCCGCGGCATGTGGGATCTTCCTGGACCGGGGCACGAACCCGTGTCCCCTGCATCGGCAGGCGGACTCTCAACCACTGTGCCACCAGGGAAGCCCAGTAGTTGATATTTTATAATACTTAACCAAATTAAGAAAAATGATACTCTTACCAGAGAGTAGAGGTATAAATTTGTTATTTCTCTACAAATAACAACATAGTAGGTATGAAATATCTTTAGTTAGCTTTTAATTTCTGTGTAACTCAGTGAAAATTCTCAGAATCTCGTGAGAAGCTAGGGATTTAACATAATATAGTAAATATATAATAATAGCACTTACTATTTGTCAGGCATTGTGCTAAGGGTTCTATGCATATCAGCATGTTTAATCCTCTAAGCAACCCTGTATGGTAGTCTGAGTGAGGGAGCCAGGATTTGACACCAGGCTCAGTCATCGTCCTACATCACTGGGCTACATACACTGCTTCAAGGGCTCAAAACACTATTTGTCTCAGAGGCTTATTATTTTAGCCATATTTGTCTCAGAAGCCTATTATGTTAGCCATAGTGCCAACGGCCTAAATAACCTGTAAAACATTAAAATGTATATATGAAATTATTGCCCAAATTAAGAAGGCATTATTATGGAAAAAAGATCTGCTCAAGGAAAATTTCCTAAATGGTTAGATGGAAATGAGCATAAGGTTTGAAGTCAGAGAGAGTTGTGGTAGCACTTACTAGCCGTGTGCCCTTGGGCAAATTATTTACCTTTTTGACCCTCACTGTCTTCATAAGTGAATGAGGCCAATGCCTACAATGAACACAGTGGTTGTGAAGAACAAATATAATGATATCGTTAAGGCACTTAACATAGTAATGGTCGTAGAGCTGACACACTCAGAAATGGTCCACTTTCTCCTATGCCTTTTTCATCAATATTTTAAAAGTATCCACAGCTCATATTAACTCAGAAACAAAATAAAGTACTACTTGTTTGCCCTACCAGCATTTCCTTCTAATTATCCTTTCTCAAATTCCTATCTCTTTTTAGCAGTAGACCATTGCTTAGGTTCCAGAAAGAAGGCATTCAAAACAAACACCTTCCAGAGGTTTGGTGGCACCTAATTTTCTCCAAAAAAATCTAAATAAAAGGATAGGGGAAAAAAAAGAACTTCATCCTACCAAAAAATGAGAAACTATCACCTCAGAAGAGTGACCAAAGTGTTGAGTACATATGGAAAGAAATGAATGCCTTTTTCATTAATTACTGACTCAAAATCTAGTTTATTTTGCTTAATACAAATGTGTTAATTTCCCAGTGTAAACTAATTAGGTAGAAAGAAGAAGCAGAAACAGCAGAGAGAAGAGTAGGAGTGACATGAAAGGCTTTAAAAGATGAGTAAGGGAAGGACAGAAAAATGTCTCTTGGCTAATGGGAAGCACCTTTACTTGTTATTCTATTTTTATTCCCTTTCGGCCTTCAAAATGAATATAGCCTGAATAAGTTAATGTCTTACTCTGGTTGGAACAAGAGTCAGATAGAACAAAAATGACAACTAGCTGTCATCCTTAGTGCTAACTCTAATTGGCTCCATGACATGTTGTACTGAGGAGGATTCTGAGAGCATGCCCAGGGCTTAGCAGGCAAAGAATGTGTGATAAATTAGCAAAGTCTACTACAGAATTTGGCTACAAATCTATTATCCTGGTCAGGAGGATAAAGGATCTGGTGAAGATGGCAGAGAAGGGAGTTCAAAGGGTCAGTTCCAAAGGAGATGATCCCCAAACAAAAAGAAACAAACAAAAAAACCTAAAAACAAAGAAGGAGATAACCTGGAAAAAGAAGATGAGGTAGAAGGTACAATATATCAGTGCTATCCGTTTAATAATCTACCTATGGTCATTTCTTACCCCCAATTACCTTACACGCCATCAACTGCTGACCCTGAAGAGCATATTAAAACCTTGATTAAGTAAACTGTATATAGCTATACTATATTATGTTCCTGTAAATTACCACTTGAACGTGAAGACTTTTATGTACTATATAATAAAGTAATTTTGAAATAAACTGGCTGACCGAACACATATAATGCTGCAGAAACGATTCTGAAGATGAACACCAAAGGAAAAAATTAGACGAGAAAAAGCTGCAATGCCAGGGTCAAGTCAAATGAAAGACAATCTGACCTTCTTAATGGTGGCAGAAGAAATTATTCCCACCTCCACTGCCTCAAACCCAGACAACTGGTATCCACTTAATAACATAAACTTGGAAATTATCACTTTCCTAATGATAGGTCTGATATAGGGCAGCAACATAGACTTGCTTAAAAAAGTTATTCTCTCCTTTTCTATAAATGTGAAATTTTTCACAATAGAAAATAAAATAAATAAACCTATGCTTTAGTATGATCAGAGCAGAGCTGGGCAAATTACTGAGGGAGAATATCTTATTCTTGATAAATCACTGAAATATCTTGTTAAATTTAGATAATTTAAATCCAATTTGTTTCATATAACTCACCTGAATATAAACATTTTATTTACTAGTTATTTCTTGACAACAAAATCTTGAGGAGACAAGGCAGTGAGTAATCACAGATGGAAAATAGAGTTATGAGAGTACACAAAGGTCATACAACAAATTGAATAATTTGTAGCTGAATTTTTGGACCAGACAAAACAAGGATTTAAACTAAGTTATAATAAACCTATTTAAAAAGAGAGAGAGAGGGGCTTCCCAGGTGGCACAGTGGTTGAGAGTCCGCCTGCCAATGCAGGGGACACGGGTTCGTGCCCCGGTCCAGGAAGATCCCACATGCCGCGGAGCGGCTGGGCCCGTGAGCCATGGCCACTGAGCCTGCGCGTCCGAGCCTGTGCTCTGCAACGGGAGAGGCCACAGCAGTGAGAGGCCCGTGTACCGCAGGACAAAAAAAAAAAAAAAAAAAGAGAAAGAGAGAAGGAGGGAGTGAGAGAGAGAGAAAACTTAAAGATGAAGCAGAAAAAAGTGTCAGAAAGAAAAGTTCAACTGGAATCCCTGGTATAAAAAAATCAGTATCTGAAATAAAGAATTAAACTGATGGGTTGGGTACAAATATTGATAACAGTTGAAGAACACATTAGTGAGCTGGAAAATCAGGTTGAAGAATTCCCAGGTATGGAATTTTTCAGGGGGATGAAGAGATGGAAAATATAAAAGAAAATTTAAGGAGGATTTCAGTAGAAATACCAATATCACTATAGGAGTCCCCTCCAAAAAAAGAGAGAAGAAAATAAAGACAAAGTAATAAATTTTCAGAATTAAAGAGAGAAAATTCCGATTGAAATAGCTCAGAATGCCAAATAGGTATTTAAGAAAACTTTTACAGCTAGACAAATTACAGTAAATATTAAAACTGCCAGAAACAAAAATCTGAACGTTTCCAAAAGGGAAGAACAGATTACTTACAAAGGAACAAGAATCAGATGAACATCTAACATTTGAATAGCAACACTAGAAACCAGAAGACACTGAAGGGATAAGTTTAAAGTAAGGAAAAAGCTTTGAAGCTAGAATTTCACACAGATAAAATACCAATTTAGGGCTTCCCTGGTGGCGCAGTGGTTGAGAGTCCGCCTCCTGATGCAGGGGACACGGGTTCGTGCCCCGGTCCGGGAAGATCCCACATGCCGCGGAGCGGCTGGGCCCGTGAGCCATGGCCGCTGAGCCTGCGTTCCCTGACTAGGGAATGCACCCATGTCCCCTGCAGTGGAAGCATGAAGTCCTAATCACTGGGTCGCCAGGGAATTCCCATTATGACTCTTAATAAGTCAGACATAACCAGCATAAAAATGATACTTTGATACACCTGAAGAGTAGTTATAGTTTTCATTACAAATGTCTAGCCTTGAGTATTTATCAACATGTTAAAACTCAAGAAGGAGTGTAAACACAAAGAAATAAGAAATTAATGGTAGATATCAACAAAACAGAGAACAAAATGCAACAGAAAAAGAGGTCATTCTGGGCCTCTAGTGCCATGCAGAGCATCTAACACATAATGAGGTTTCTAATTATTTTTTAGATGAATGAGTTAGTAAATTATTAAGATTAATTCAACCCTCTGCACCTCAGAAGCCCCCACAAAAGAAGGAAAAAAGTTTACAAATCACATGTTAAGAAAGAAATCCAACATATTTTGTGACAATTATTTAGGTTTCTTGTATGGGTCAGAATAGAAGCAATCAAATAAAAATGTATGAACCTGAATGAGGGAGGGTTCAGGCAGGAAAAGCATTGCTAGTTACTGAAATCATTCAGTGTGTTATAAAGCACAGAACAGAACAGTCGTCCAGGGAGAAGGAAATCAATTCACCAAATGAAAGGTCAGTTCAATATTAAACAGATGGCCCATTGTGAAAATTAAGGTTTTCCTTTTGGCAGGGGACTCAGAGTTACTTCACTTATATAGCAGGAGGAAGTTCCTAAAATTGCATGAAATAATAATTTAAGAACTTGCTTCTCCTGGTAACTTTTTCCTGCTCAATGACAAAGGAAAAGAGATGAACACCTGAGTCCTTTCTCAGCAAAACAGGAAGACTACTGTTAAATAATGTCCTTAAATAAAATGACATACTATAATCTCTTTTCTTTTTTTTTTTTTTGGCGGTACGCGGGCCTCTCACTGTTGTGGCCTCTCCCGTTGCAGAGAACAGGCTCGGACGCGCAGGCTCAGCGGCCATAGCTCACGGGCCCAGCCGCTCCGCGGCATGTGGGATCTTCCCGGACCGGGGCACGAGCCTGTGTCCCCTGCATCAGCAGGCGGACTCTCAACCACTGCGCCACCAGGAAAGCCCCTCCTCTCTTTTTTTTTTTTTAAAAAAATTTATTTATTTTTGGCTGAGTTGGGTCTTCGTTGCTGCGCGTGGGCTTTCTCTAGTTGCGGTGAGCGGCGGCGGGGGGGGGGCTACTCTTTTTTGTGGTGCACAGGCTTCTCATTGCGATGGCTTCTCTTGTTGCAGAGCACAGGCCCTAGGCGCATGGGCTTCAGTAGTTGCGGCATGCAGGCTCAGTAGCTGTGGCTCACGGGCTCTAGAGCGCAGGCTCAGTAGTTGTAGCACACGGGTTTAGTTGCTCTGCAGCATGCGGGATCTTCCCGGACCAGGGATCGTATTGGCAGGTGGATTCTCAACCACTGCACCACCAGGGAAGCCCCTCCCTTCCTCTCTTCTGACAGAAGAAATTACTGAAACGACTTCTATTAATTCCTGATGTAATAACATTTACTGAAAAAAAAATCTCCCTTTCAACTCTTTTGTAATAATTTCTTGGTAATGCAGATTGACTCATATTACTACCATCTACGAAGGACAATTGATTCTTTTAGGGTTCAAGATTTTGTCATAATGAACAGTACTAGTACTCAATAGTCTTTTTAAAAAGGTTTTAGAGAAAACATTTTAAAAGTATCAATACTTATAACTTTTCTTTATTTTGTGTGGTATTTTGACAATTTCACTCTAAATAGTATCTGAGCTGATTTAAAGTCTTACCCAATTTAGAGTGTAGTCAGTAAACTGCTTAAATTTTGATATACTAGATTTCATGTTAAGAACTACATTCTAAAATCCAAGATGAATTTCTTTGAATTTGGCTTCATGCATGGAAATCTGGGGAAGTAATATTACATATTCTGTTTTGTAGAACGTCAGAATTTGTTACCTAGAGAATCTGCGATTACTATTTTCAGTTAGTTATACATCTATCTATTTAGCAATCAGGCTTCAAGAAGTCCCAGTGATTCAGAATAACAGCAACACTTCCCAGAGATTAATTTTTTAAGATAAACAAATATCTGAGCATTCAAAGACAAAAAAAAAACTAAAAAAGGGAAGACTGCACAAAATGTAAAGACTGGTCTGTTTGCTACTGTAAAAACAACCCATTTTTGATGCTTATCTTTGGTTATAAAAATTAAAGCTTGATGTTTTTTAAACTGACAGAAGAAACCAGAAAAAATAAAAATAGATTTATAGCAAAGCCTTCCTAGTACCAGAAATGGATAAACGAGGTAGATGTTTGATTATTAAGAGCAAGAGGTAGCAAAGATCAGAATGAAGTTCGAAGTGATGGCACAGAAGATAACTATGAAAAAGCAGGAAAAAAAACATCAGATTTTAGGTTAGTTCTGTAAAAGGGGGCCATGAGCCCAACACATCCCCAGTTGACTAATCCAAAGGGAATCACCATAATACTGCTATATAAAGGGGGTCAATCACATACAGCTCAGTAGCCTAGGGGTGTATCTAAATCAAATTAAGCTCAGTTCAGTATCCTTGGAGGGCACCAAAGGAGTTAGGTACTGCCACCCTAATATCCAGCATGTAATCTGTAGTAGCATTTACCAAAGTACAGCAACAAGTGAAACCACATGTGTTACTGTTTTTAGAGAGCTATATATATTACAGAGTTTAACGTACACAGAGAAGCTGAATAATCACCATTAAAGAAGTTTGGCACCAGCCTTATTTTTCACTCAAGACAGAGTATCCAAAATACTCATAATGATCAAAATTTCTGCTAAATGTTACTTAGAAACTAGGTGTTTAGTACATGTCGCTTTAACACATATTCTTATTTGTATATGTCTTATGTAGAAATACAGCTTATGTAGCCCTTATCTCTTTGGGGTAGGTTGTATTTATTTCTTTTAGATCATTATAAGAATCAGCAGAAGTACTCCACTGTCTGTGAGATCAAAGGATTTGATTGGGTGATTTTGCTAGGAAAACTTGGAAGACAGAATGCATGGGTTGTGTTACATAGGAATGGAAACTTAAAAACTTAGGAAAAGTTCTTTTAAAAGCACTATATTTTTTGTATTTCATATTGGAAGGAGAAATTTGGCAAAACTATTTTCTTTTAAAGAGTCATGTCAGTTACTTTTAAAGATAGTTATAAGTTTTAAATACTAATAAGATTCTAGAGATACTTAGTACCTGGGCCAATGTATCACTTGAAAACACCTATGAAACGTGGTTTTTGTTGGTAAATTGAACAGATGCCTTAATAATTGCGAGTTTTATAAAATTTAGAGGAGTTTCTCAAATAGGCAAAACATAATGGGTATGTCAAAATAAGTTTCCTTTCCCGCTGGTGAGAAAAGTTGGGGTTAGACACATAAAGAAAGTTGAGGTCTACCAGAGGTACCAAAATAGTCCCAATCCTAGTGTTAGTATGAAGTTATTTATTTGTTTTTTCTTCAGTAAAAGAAAGTTAAACTAAGAATCAGAAGTGAGGAAACTGGATTTATGACAAGATTATACAAGATGGAAATTAAGGCTGAAGAGCCTATACGCTAGGCCAAGCAAACTAATTTGGCTCAGCACTCCTACATAGGTCAATGTAGCCATTTCTACAGTACTTATGTTTTCCCCTAGTTTCTTAATTCTTACTGCACTAATACAGGAGGCACTAACCACATATGGCTACTTAAAGTAATTAAAATTAAATATTCAGTTCCTCAGCCACACTAGCCATATGTTGACTAGTGGCTACCCAATTGCACAGTGTAGAAGAAGCATTTCCATCACTGCAGAAAGTCCTAATTGGGCAGCGCTGAATTAAAAGCTTTTAAACCCAGGCAATGCAGAACCAAAACTTACATGCTTCATATCCATACTAGATTTAAATGTTGGAGCTCCTTCCTCTCCAGTCTTTCCATCATAGTACATATAAGCTATTTTCATAGGTCCTGTTGAACAATGTAACCACCCAG